ATGTTTACAAAAAAGGTAATTTTCTTTGTTTCGTGGAACCAAGAGCATCACATAAACGTAAAGATTTTAATTATGGTGGCATTTCTCGCCGTTTTGTGAAAATAAAATAGTGCTTTTATTATCAACGTGAGAGAAACGTTGTAATATTTGAAAATGAAAATAGAGAGAACAAAACATCACCGTCTATTTCGTTTTTAAAAAATATTTCACCCAAAGCAATAAGATTATGAGATTCGTAACGCTAAAAGTTATAATAAAAATTTATAGGGATTTAAAGAATTATAGCGATTCTCTTTACTTTGTTGCCTAAAGGAAATAAAACTATTCTTTTAATCTTCTTTCAATTTTGTACGATTTGTGCTAGTTTGAGGCATAAAATTTTTTTTTAAATAAACTAAATGTGAAAAAAACCAGATTTGAAGTTTATATTTAAACTACTATTTACATATTAAAATACAAGCATGCGATATTAGCCCAAATTCGCTTGAATTCAAAACGTATTTTATGGGGACCGATTTACAGAAGTACAAATAAAACCATTATGGCCTCTAATAAAATGATAAATATTAAACCAAGATTACCAAGTAGGTTTACTAATTAAGTTGACGGACCGCAACCTAATTAAAGTCGCGAAAAGTGTTGAAAACTTCAAACTTTCACAGGACGAAAATTAATTACCAAGAAATAAAAGTGAGTAATTAATTCTCTAATAATATTGTCGCAAACAAAAACAAATATTATCATCTCAATTTCCATTAAAATCGTGGGTAAATAAATGAATAATTTATGATTGTGTTTATCTGGTTGTAATAAATTTTACTGGGAGAAGATTTTCGAAAATAATTTGAATGCTCCACCTTTCCGTGCCCATCAATTAATTGGGTTAATTTTGTTTAATTAAGGATATCAGAATTGCTTGTTATTTTACCGATCCTAATGAAGGAGTTTACGTTTAATACTCCGTTTGGAAAGACACTGAATTCATGGAAATTGCCTTCTTACGTGTGTAAGCTTTAGTTAAAAAACGCGCACGTAATTCCCAAATGAGTATGATACTTGGATACAAAATGTTAAATTTTCGTTCATAGACAGTCTAAAGTTTCAAATTCGATTATTTCAAACTGATTTTTCTATTTCTCTTTTCAATATTTTTCTATCCGAATAAATAAATCTTTGTAATTCGGTTAAAAGAGCTAACGAACACCATTTTCTAGTTGATTATGCCTCATCCGTGCGAATTTTCGAGCTAACAAATCACCTGGGGGAAGTTTTTGGATATTTTCCTTTGTGACGATTCTCTCACTGTTTCTCTCACACGCGATTGCAACTTAATTCCGTTTCTTCTTCGGGCGATAAACTTAATTTACTAAATTTATGCGCAAACGCATATTATTCTAAATTAAAATTGCGAATATTTATGACTGTTACTATTCGGTAAACAGCATCTTATCGATGCGTCAAAAATATCTTTTTATTGGATGATACAATATTTATGGGACAGAGGTATGGGCGTTATTGCCAATACATCAAGGGGCGTTAATGCAATTTTAACTTAAATTTAATTCAAAATTAAACAATCTTACACAACTAACTACCCATAAAATGTAAGTGATCTTTTATTATCGCCAATTCGGTTTTACGTATTTGATGTAAGAAAATAAGAGCTTGCAGTTGCAAGCATAAAGAATAGACTTCATTATACTCAAAAAATATTTTTTTAGAAATTAGTTTCTACATTTTTCATGACTGCATATTTGAATATTTGACAATAGAAAATTGGTTAATATTTTTCATTTAAAAATTTCTTAAAACTAATCGGCAGGCTCGCCGGAATTAGGGTAACTTGGCCTTAGGATAATCACCTAAAATAATTCCTTCCTAACACTAATTAAAATTAATTTCAGAAAGATGCGAAATAATTATTTATCGGTTTTAATCAAGCAGAACTCCTAAATTTTGAAAAAAATTCTCGCTCCTCTTCTACAAAATTGTGAAAAATCATGTTTTAGCATATATTTTTTTATAATATTTTTGGTATTAATATCTATGAAAACATATACAGGGTGCGCCAGAACTCGCGCCCCAGAGAAAAATGCCATATAAGGTAAGATATGTGTTTTATCTATAAAAATTTCGAAGTTATGAGGGTTTAGAGTTTGCAGTTTGACTCTATTTATTTCTGTTGGAAAAATAATTTTCCAAGTTTTTTTGCTATAGACTAAAGAGGAAGCAAGGAAGCTGTACCCTAAATTGTAACTCTGTTCAATGTTATTTGTGGCTTTTATTACTCCCTTTGTTCCAAATGTCAAAAAATAAATGTCAAAATTTTTTGACAGATAAAATTTTTTAAACATTTTTTTCATGTTCCTGGTATCTTACCTTACTAGAAAATTTTCTCTAGGGCGTGAGTTCTGGCATACATATAGAGTTTTGCTTCATGGAAAATAGAGCTTTGCTCTATCATTTAAAATAATTTTTTCTATTTTGCGTTTAGAATAAATCTATTCCAGCACCCAAATGACGTCATTTAAGTGCTTTAATAAGTCGTTGGCCTTAATTTAATTTTAGTGACGGACTTTCTTCACTATTCATTTTCAATTGTGAGAATAAGAATTATTTTTATTTTTTACAGCCGCCTAGAATTATTCCACATACCAAAATGTCGCAAACCGTCGCAAAATTCTCTAGAAAAAAAAATAAATTTTCGTTTTTTAATTTATAAAATGATATAAAGCGGGAAAATAGAAATAATAGTATAAAGTACTTGTAGCAGAAGGTTCTTCAAGTACTCATTTGTGCTTCTGCAACTTGTACTTTAATACAGGGTGATTCAGCTTAAATGACCCACCTGACCCCTCTTGGCAGACAACTCATAATACATTATGCACTTATTCCTTGATTCAAAATTAAATTTTCAAAATATCGAGAATCAAAGAATGTGTCGTCCATTTAACAAGTAAATATTTCAAAGCGTCAAAGCAGACGACGTCTCAAAGTTTCAAAAATGCAAAAACAAATAATGAAAAAACTGATATGATATTAACTTATGGTGCATCTGGTAAAAATGGTAGATAAGCCGCCGACTCATATGCTCGGCAATATCCAGAATGAGTACCTACATCGTACGCATAATTTTTTTAAACGACTGGAAATGTAAGTAAGCTTAGAAGTATACGAACTGCCACTAGTTTAGAGAAGGAAATTCTGGTGTTGGAGACTGTTGAACAAAATCGGAATATTGGGCAAAGAGCAATTGCAAGAGAATAAGCCTTCTTCTTCTGTTTCTAGAATTTTAAAAACTAATAAATTTCATCCCTATCCCATGCAGTTAGTGCAAGAACTTCGAGATGCTGACTTCCCTCGTAGATTATATTTTTGTTATTTTGTTTGGGAACAATTAGAAAATAATGTTGTTTGATTTTTTGTTTTGTGAATAGAATCGTGACTTCCGGGTGGCCACATAGAGCATCGACTATGAAATAATTAATTTTTTATTTACCTTTTTCATTTGTATAAAATAAAATTGCGTTTATTCAAAAAATTGACATTGATTGAAATGTATTGTTGCATGTGCACGTGACAGTGACACTTTCGATATTTTGATCATGAAACTTTCACAATTCTAATATGAATCAAGCAATAATTGCTTTGTGTATTATGGGTTATCTGCCAAGAGGGGTCATTTAAGCTGAATCACCCTGTATACTATTCTACCCCTTTCTTGTAGATACGGATTTTAACTAGAATTTCAAAAATTGATGAAAGTGTACAACTTTCAAACAATCATAATTTTGATTTGCAATATTTTATTTATAGGTAATTCTCCTTTTTTAAAATATAGTTTGTAATCCTAAAACTTTTCAGCGTTTATTTTTTAATACTTTAACTTCACAATTTGAAAATTGTTGATGTAGGTTTTAATAATTTTTTTTTTAATTAAGTTAATACAAGGTGCATGTTTCTAAGAACCCGTAAGTGTGAAAGTTTCATGAACGTATGTCTTGCATAAATTGTTACGTTTAATGGAGTCCAGAAAGTGGTAAATTTGAGAGATAACTATTCAAAACATAAAGCAATGAAACTTTCACAACACTTTTGATATAAGTTCTTTTATAAATACCTTGTATAAATTTCTATCATTAAATTTTTAAGATAGTTTCACTTCAAAGAGATTATATCATTGTATCATAGATAATTTATTGATTACTCCTGATTTTATTTCGTTGATTTTTGTTTTGTTGTATTATTTAATTAATTTTTGCAATATTTACCTTAAATATTGTATCTAAAAATACTAATGTCGTCGTTTACGAAACAATTCTATTGACGCAAAAGCACTTTTTTAAAGGAAGTCTCAAACTCAACTAATAAGTAGATATTACCTTTGTATACTAGTGGTTTTCTAAAGACTTTTTTATAGACAAACAGGTCTGAATATCTAGTCAGACATCTAACAAAAAATGAGAAAATCTTCTGAAGACTCCCTATACGGTGCTCTAAATCAATTTTTCTTGTATAGCTTCATGTTTACTCCTCCACAAATTTTCTGCATTGCCTTTATTGCAACGAACTTAATTGAATTACGTTCCGTTTGTTTTCCCAAGAGGTACAAAATCAAGTTTTAAGACTAATTTTAATTTATCGTTTTCCCTATGGTTAGGTTATTATTATTATAATTCCACTGATAAACTAAAAATAAACATTAAATAAAGCTCTATTGATTTTTTATCCCTTTTCTGCAAACTAGAAATAAAATTACCACGCAAGTTTGGGTAACTAAGTTAAACTAACAAATAAACTTAAAAACTTAAACATTTGTTTCCGAAAGAACAAGACATTTAGATAGTGCAAAATTTTGATGCATTCAAACTGACTCAAATTCCTTTCCACTTGAGTGCTTTTTAATTAAATGTTGTACAAATGAAAAAGAAAAATTTAGCACATGCGCAACTAAATCATTTAAAACAAGCGTCGCGACGCTGGACTGCTAGTATTTTGCCAGAATTCAGAGTTTGAGCGCCGGTTTTTCCCACAAAGCGTTAAATACCTGTTGATTGTCGTGTTTTAATCCCAAATGAAAAATTTTAATAAATACTGAAATTTCAGGTGAGTTATGATTGATTGAAACTTTTTCATTCATGTTAAAAATTTTGTATCAAATTACTTGCAAATATACTTCGGAAAATTTGAAATTTAACCTTTAATTAACGAAAAATGATGTGTATGTACGTTACCAGTTACCCAATAAATTCACAAGTGTAGTGATTGATGTTATGATAGCTAGTCGATATTCTGCCGTAAATAGATGTCAACAATTATTAAACGAATTTGTTTACCTGCTACCTGGCAAAAAATAAAGCAATATGAACTTATAAATAGACACCACCAATATTTTGCAATTTTATTTGAATCACATGGTAAAAAAGTACAATCAAAATTTTAATTAATAATCGACTAAATTGCTTCTCTTAATTTTGTACTTGTAACAAACTTTTCTAATTAGTAAGAATTAATTGCTTCAAAGTTATAATTTGCTGTTTTATGTAATACAGACATTCTAAAATTGAAAGCTTACTTGAATAGAAAAAAAAAACAACGTTTTAATGTGATTTTACGTAAACTATCTACGTAGTAGATTTAACTTTACCAACAATTTAAAAAAAATGAGTTTTAGACATAATCTGGTTAATTTTCAAACTTACTTTTATTTAAATATTCATTAGTTATTATTTGTTTAAAAATAATAAACAAAATAATTGTTGTCACTACAATAACTACAGGCAAAAATATAGTACCTACAAAAAACCTTGCCATTTTTCAAGTAGAAATAACATAATTATGAAAAACTATTTTTTTAATTTGATAATAACAACTTAAATTTACATAACAATATAAACAAGAATTTTTAATAGAATTTTTAGTTGTTAGTTTGTATCTGCCACATCTCTATTCTAGGTTAAACCTGCAGAATGGTCGTTTTCTGTTAGAATTGAAAGAGTTGAAAGTAACAAATAAGTTGCTTTCCCAATTGTAAAAAAGAAAAATATATAATTTAAGATCATAGGAACATGTTTCGGCAACCAATTGCCATCATCAGCATAAAAAAAATATTACAAAAGTTATTAAAATTTCATTTGGAATTTGGAATTACTGAAAACTGCTTGAAATTGTATTTACTTTATTTTAATTAATTTGAATAGCTATTTGTAAAAATTGAACTAATGAAAAACTCTGTATCTGAGACTACAAATTTTTCATTATGTTTTAGAGAGACTTTTACATCCACGTCTTAAATTGCCTTTAAAACAATATTTATAAGGTAAAAATAAAGCAAGTCATTCGGGAGGGCTGTTTAAATCAGTCATTTTTGGGTTCAGTAAAACATTAATTAAGAACCAGATATTGTGTTTTAGCTTGGGACAACCGACCTGACATCTCAATCAATTTAAACACAAAAAGACACTCTGCGGGACACAATGCGACGGATTTGCGTTTAATTAGTACAAAAGCATTAAACCCGTTTTTTTTATCACCAGACACCTCATTGTTTGAAAATAATTGGAAACTGGTAAAAAAATTTAAAGAAATATTAATAAAGCAGAAAAGAAAATGAAACAGAAAATTGCGTTATTTTCCAGGAAAAATATTTTCTTCAACAAAAAACTTTTTAATCTTGAAGAAACATGAATACCTGTTGATTTAATTAATTTAAACCGATATTGAAAATTTTCTTTTTGTGTTACGTAAAAAATTGTACCAAAATAAAAACTGAACAAATTATTCTCTTTTTTTTGAATTCTCCAAATGTTATCAATTTTGCATCATATTTTTATCTTCCTTTTACGTTTTTTTAAAACTGCAAAGTGATTCATAACAGCTATATGGGCCTGTTCACTACAACAGTTAAAATTTTAATGAATGTTCTGTTTTTAAAAAATGTAAAATTTGGTGTCGGCTAAAAAAGTTCACTTACAACAAAAAGCTAAATTTAAACAAATCATGTAGGTATGTATTTCTACTTTAATTTCAAATTAAATTTAATTTAATTGAATTTTCGGTTGATGTATCTGATACTTCAGCATCACAATTATGTTGGTATCTATAGACACAGCAGATTCAGAAGATACATTTCAATATTATAAATATAATGATGTCTGGAAAATTTAAAAATTTAGACGTCGATATAAAAACAATTGCTTTAAATTACAAATATCTAATTTTGAATTCAATAAAGGATACCCTTCGGTGCTGTCTACCTAACCGCTGAAGGTCAAGATCTATGAAGGCGATTTAGAAAAAAGTCTTCTAGTGACTAACAGAAATATGAAAAGCTGGTATATCACAAAGAAACGAAGAAATGAACCAAATCTGTTTGGGGTAAAATGAATAGAACCAAGTGTATGATGGGTTGTCTGCTACGGCGCTAAATATGGCGCCACCTAGTGTGCCAGAAACGCAGTATTGTTCGATCTTAAAGCTAAAACTGAAAATTGCATTCTTCTCTCGAAAAAAGATTATTCGTTTTATTTCTTTTACATTTTATTTTTATCATGTTGGCTATTTATTACTAGTTATTAGTACACACGATTGTGTAAAATCTCCCATTACGTAGAAGATTATTTAAACGAGATTAGAATTTATTTGAAATGTTAAAGCTGCGTTTAAAAGTTTTGTTTGCTGCGCGATATACTATTTATACTTTGGTAAAAATCGGAATTAAAGAGTAACACATAAAAAACACTTTGTCCAGAGCGACCATTAGATGTGAAACACGTTCGTTGATTGTTTTGTATTCTAGAGTGATACTGACTGAATAGGATTGGTGAGACTGTAGTAAGTGACAAGTAGAGAATCGAATTGCATCGTATCTAAATTGAATTGGGCTTAATGGAACAGATTTAAACCAAATTATAACACGAAAATAAATCTTTTTCTCTTATTTATTCGAATTTCATCTCGCGTTTAAGAAACTATAAAGATTGATTTATCCACTTGGAAAGCTAAGCTGCATGTAATAAATTTAACCATTAAACACCCACTTGTGTCTTTTTACCAGATTTACTATGTACTGTTTTTTTTCGGATTTTATTTAATTAAAAGGAAATTCACGTGGAGTGAAAAAACTCGTCTCTGAACCATTATTTAATTAAAACACTCTTGTAAAATTTTATCCAATTAATTCTTTCTTCATTAACAAAAAATGTAATATCAGTTAGAAACTTTACTCAAATTGGAAACGACTATCAAAATAACATCGCGAGCTTTAAAGCTTAACACGGAAATATGACAAAGCTTTGTTTAAATGTTTTCGAAAATTTCAGAAATCGAGCACAAAGGCTGATCAAGGATTTACTTAACATTCTCGACACTCCCCCCTAATGAGATTATTTGAGCAAATGACCAACTTTAGGGTCACTGCCTTAATCCCTCTTACGTAAAGTGCGACCAACTTTAATTAAAATTTGTGATTGTCACAATATTGTTCTCAATAACTAGTTTTTCATTTGTGACAATGTTGGACCGAGTCGTGCTCTCAAAGCGTAAAAACAATAAAATCAATAAAATAATAAATCGTCCTGAAATAAAACGGATGATATAAAAATATGGCTTGAAAATATATAAATATAATGCAAAAATAAACAAATAGTTCCTAAACGTAATAAATTCATAAATTATGAAACTGACGTAAATTTTAAGATTTTAATAAAAATAATTAGAAATTGGTGAATTCACAATATTGATCTTTCCTCAACATTTCTAAACTTTTTAAAACTTTCTCTTAAACCTAATCCTCTTTATATTCCAAAGTGGATTAGATTCTAACACCAAAAACGCTCACCGTCGCCTGGTCTTCCCCCTAATTGCTTAAACATTGCTTTTCCTTTCAATTTATAACAAATATTTGAACTAAAGCGTTGTGTGGATATTGTGATATTGAACAATTACTTAGCATAATAAAGTGAAGCAAAACTCAATTAACTCTAAGTATAATAGATGACAAATAACTACTAACCCAGATTTACTAAAACTTTGAATTTCCGACCAACTCATGCTTCGTGATATTCCGTTCCGGCGTTCATCCGCTTTTGCAACCATAATTTGTCAAACAATGTCATAGTAAAGTTAATTTTATAAGTTTTAATGAGATTTTTTAGTAAATTGATAAATTCTAGAAAGATAAACAAGACTTTAGCATAGAAAACTCATTTAATAAAATTTAAATTATAAAAATT